ACCATGAACTGACGCACTAAAATTAGCAGATACTGACTGAATGGGATGCAGTGATGTGGAAAATGACTCCCTGTCTATCCATCTGTGAGCCCGTTCGATACCTTGAGTTGATACTGCGGTGGCTGCTTTTCAAGCAGGACGGTGCTTACCCCCCCCCTCCCTCTCCCCCGGAAACCTACCTGAACTACTCATGAACGCACTTGCTGTCTAGAACAAACTAGAAACGAGCTGCAAGCACACAATGATTTTGCCCAAGGAGAAATGCGTCGTATAATGGGGGTTTTATCAAATTAATCAAAATTGTTATTCATAAAAAGGCATAATCAGCAGCTGCGAAAAAACGCAATCCAGCAAAATTTAATTTAATACGCGCTCTGACCACTTTGATGGTTCGACTCATACGATGGCTGATTTTCCTATTACCATATCACTCGATGCCGTAGCATTTCGAGGTGCGGCAAGGCTGATTCGAAGTGATGCTTATATCTTTGTAGAATAAAATACTTCAATTATCCATAGTATGCACATTCCTATTTTATTTGCGTGTGTAAAACTTGCTTAGCTACACCGCTTTGTAGATATGTTTTCCTCGAAACTATGGGCTCTAATTAAGGGTGCCTTCGGGCATGCATCTAGCTTCTCTGATAGTTCACTGCTGGGCGCGTGCGCCTCTCCAAAGAGCAGTTCCTGCTTATCATTAACATCTGTTCATAAACTAATAGACGTTACGAATAATCATTACACCTACCTTACGTATCTGCGTGCGCGTTGAATTCAGATACTTCTGCGTTCGGTAAATTCAATTCACAGTTTAAGTACAGCTTCGAACCAATACACCGAATGTTTGAAGAATCAGAATGGCAAGAGCATCGACTACATAATACGGCATCAATCTTTTTACCTCTTCTTGGAGAAGATTGATGCGTACATCACGTTTACGGATGCCAGATCTAACGGATCTAGGATCCACCACCATAGGAGACGTAGGCTAGCGTTTTCAAATGTGCATTAATGAAATTGCGTCAAATTCACACGTTCATTTGTGTTTAACCATGCGATTTCTGCTAACGTATTTGTGAATGTAAAACCTAATGTATATACATGATAACATGGGAAGCGGGGCTCCCGCAGTTCAGGAAACGAACAGGATAGCTTAAGAAAGCTTGGCTATCCAACAAATTGGCTAAGTTGCTTATTAAATCTGATGGGGATATGTATAGTTATTGTGAATGCGACTCCCCATAGGGACAGCGTAAACAATCTTATCTGATCAATTATGAAATTACGTGAACTAACACTTCATTCGCTGACCATCAAGTTTGGTGATTGGAAACAGGAACAATAACGGCAGTTGTATTGACTTGCAATTGTCCATACGGATTAAACTGTTGTCATTTCTTTGTAATCACTGAACTCGTATTTAGATAAGGCACTTTCGCCATCTAGAAATTAACTAACGGGACAACCATATATTGGTAGGATAAAAGTTCGGCCCGTGTAAATCGATAGCCGAAATCTTGCAGACGTCAGACAGACAAGCTTAGAACAAAGCGACAAGAGAGTTCATTCAGAATGAGCGGGATCGTATTTGGGAAAAAAAAAAGTGTTTCTTGTACAGAGAAAGGTAAAAAAATAGAGGTAAAACATTTCAATTGAATAGTATTATCATCAATATAACATAGGAATGTAAGAATAATAATCAACTATTTCTCCTCCCGAAGCCGGTGGCGTGTCTGTGAAAAGCCGAAACTTTTTTTTTTGTAATAGTAGCTAATTTCATAATAAAGTTAGGTGACTATATAATAAGTTAAGATAACCACTTCACTGTAGTTCTTCTCGCTTCCTGATAAACATCGCGTCTAAACTACGTCCTCATGAATTTTTTTCGTAACGGTAGCACTTGGTAACAACGAAACACTTGACCTTTATGGCTAATTCGTATGGGGGGGGGGGGGGTGTTCGATTAGGAAGATAATCCATGAAAAACGGTAGACATAATATACAAGTACTTAGCATTGAGATTATCTTTAGTATTAAAAAAATCTCATGATAACCTGTCTATTAGTAATCAATAACAAACGTTAGGCATCCCTCATAGTTGGGTCGATGTGAATAAAAAGCTTTTTCTCCATATAATTTTTTTAGTGCCACTCACTCGGTGATGTTTCTGGAATTAGTACACGCTGATTTTACTTGACCATCCTGACGTCTATCCTGAAATGATACTTGTCTACTGCGTCGCCAAACCACAGTACCGTAGCACCGTATGTAAGGCCACCGAAACCAATAAAAAGGCGAACCGAATTGCGTCGTCGACGTATTTTTGCTCCCCATGGCGCGCCCAATTAATCCTATCATATCCTAGCTTGTTTGACTGCAGATTACTTTTTTAATTTGTCATATACAATCAAATACAGTGGAACATGACAACAGGTTGTACTTTCTAGCGTTTCGCTTCGCGATTTCGCGTATTCGATGCACTAACGCGAAAAGATGGCTTTGCAGAAACACTACTACTTTTTCTAGCACTGAGCGTTTTTCTAGCACTTAGCGTTTCTCTATTCGTTTAGCAGCACGACGTTTTTTACTGCTGTTCTTTTTCGTTATTTCTAAGCAAAAGCCGGCTTAGCGCCGGCAAACATTTTAAATTTTCATACTGCTACACAACTCGCTTCTCCAGTTGTTCGGTTCTGCCCGTCTTGAAAGCCGCCACCATGGCGTCACGGGTCTCGTCAGACCTTTGACATACACTACTACAGTTTAACTCAGACGCGTCACGCGCAGCCGGGTGAACCTTACCAACTAACAATGCTGCTAATAATGACCACATACTAACAGGCTTGTGATAGTTGTTACTTTTTGTCAATTTATTTGACAAAAAAATAGCGCGCGTTTGCACAATAAAACAGAAGGTCAGAAATTTCCACCGGTTCTGGACGCAGCTTACAGTTCGCGTTAAGCGCTAACCATAAGGAACTGGGTAATATACTTACACCTTTTTTTTTTTTTAAATAGATACCGTCGTATGCAATCTTACTGCATTTACTTGTGTGCATTTAAATGTGGTCAATGCTTTAAGGCCAGCATGTGATGCGTAAGCTTAGAGCGAAAAAACGAAAGCCGGAAACATAGATCGTCCAAACTTGTTTTCTATCGAATTTGACATACATCCATATAAATACTAGCAAACCCATTTAATAAGAGGCGTTATAGGCTCTACATGCGTGGCTGCGTCAGTCCGCACTTCTTCGTGACGACTGGGAAAACTATTCACTCCTGCTTAATTCCAGTAACCTATAGTAAATCTTTTTCGAATTCATTATACGGGCGATGCGGTTGAGTTGTGCAAACCGCAATTATGGAAGGAGAAAGAAAATCACTTGGGGGCAGTAAAAATAAAAATGGGAAGCAGAAAGGTGTCCTGCCGGTAAATCAATGTTTGCAAGTCTCCAGCATTCGTTCTAACAGGGAACAAGTATATTCGACAAAACAATGCTGATAAAACGGGTATTGAAATCAAGCTAATAACAAACTATTACCTGTCACTACACAACAGTAAAAATAATATAAAACGCTTTTAAAAGCGTTGCTAGGGTTGCTGGGACAGGGCCCTACAATATAATATTACGTTGTTTTTCCTGCAGTGTAACCTAAACCGCACAAGATCTCACATAGGTCGCACTAGCCCTCATGATGAGATGCGTGTATTTTCGAAATTTACTTGAACCTCTGCATTTTGCCTCAATGGTTTCTCCAAACCGGAAACGAGTATCCGGGATCTGGTCGGAAATCCATCACATAGTATAATCACCCATCGAACCATCGTGCGTATGTTTTTTTGTTCTTTAATATAAACCGCGTCCATTAAACATTCATTCATCCAGGCCGCTGCAGATAAAGTCGGAACGTATTTGCGCTTTGAACGTATGGCACCTTGCCAACTTACTGCTAATATCATGCCATACGAAATACGGCCAGACATTAGTTATCTTAAACAAATACGATTAAATAAAGTGAATAATAATGAGCAGAGTCCAGATAACTACAGGTTCTTCTGTTACTATTGCTTTAGGCGGGACGCCACCGCCTAATCATGCGTCTCCGAGACCGTAAAAATGTAAAAAAGTACCAAATGAATACATGCGTGAGTCGAGCGATCATTATCGATAGCGAGTGTTATCTTCACATTAACTATACATTCGAATACATTTTCATACGGGCGTGAGGTCTGGTGGCCTTGCTAGACTCGCCTACACACGCACTCATCGACCATGAGACTGCGACCTCGTCAATAATGATTCGAGACCTGCTATTATATACGGCAAAGTGCACAAGCGTCTGAAGGTATCCAGTTGAAACTTGGTCTTTTGTTGAATACTATTACTTTCTACTCATGCTACAATAGCTCAGCAGCAGCAGCAGCAACAATTCAGCGGGCATTATCAATTCGATTTTCCAACGAAATCTCCCATCTCCTAACACTGCTTCCGTAAGCACTGTTTCGAAATCCGTTCATTTCGAACGCATCAATGGTAAACTGCTGCCATACCTTGGCTGTTATAATTACAAGCGCTTTTAGCTCTATAGGAATCGAGCTTCCGGTTATAAGATATGAATTGATTGGCGCCTCCCTGCATTAGCCGTAGCTGCTGCAGTGTACAGGACGTTCCATGGTTCATTCGCAGGCTACCCCAAAAAGCATACGGAGTGTTCGGCCATCCCGAACGAGCAACACATGCGGACCGATCAGGACCGATATTCGAAAACGCTTCTACATTGCAACGCATTGGTGCAACGAACTAATTGTTTCGCTTCTTGGTTGGCACCTTTAAATGGAGCTGTTTGTATCGATCGGGAGATTAATTAACATCGATTGATATTGCAACAGTAATATTAAGACCACTCGCCGATATGAGAACTCGGCTGATCTTCGAAACGACGCTAGTGGCAAAATTAAACATCGACCTGGATCTATAGAATGCGAAATTCTAATTACTTACCAGAAAAGCATCAGTAGTAAGGCACAGAGGCCCCGTCTGCGTCGTAGATCCAATCTCATCCTGGTCCCACTATAGATTTGATGGCAATAACCGGGATCACACCTCACTGCGAGCTAGCTTTCCGGTTATTTCAACACTCACTGCGACACATTCACAAAGCAAGGGCTCGTTTTTATGGGAAGAATCGTAGTACACTATACGTTGTGGCTTTTATGCAGCAGCACTTCAACAAGCAATGAGAAGAACAAGTGCTGCTCGTCGTCCCTTTTTGCCGTCCTTAAACAGTTGATCTTGGCGGCGAGAACATTTGAACAACCCCAACTAATCACATGGAAATTTTCATGGCACATCTTCTCAACACATAGCCGGCGCTTCCCAGTATCTTGCTTCGTGTTCGAGAAACGAACGTCGAACCTATTTCCGTCAGATTTCACTGAGTATAATTCGTTGAATAATCCAGCAACACTCAGCAGTGTTTGACTGACGATTGAATTTTGGCGAAATCAATTTTCGAACTGAGCTACCTTAAAGATGAGCTTTGTGTTCATGCTTAGTTTACTCACGACAGATTTCTCACCTTCTATATCATTTTAATGCAGGCAGATAGAGACACAGACGGATACACACACACACACACACACACACACACACACACACACGCACATACATACGCTGAAAGTCTGCCTTTAGCACCAGTGTTGCTTGACGCTCCTGGTTCAATCGAACAGCAACAGCTGACACGGGCTACCTGGTCAGAGAATAAAACTGCAAGCCATCAGACTCCGAGAAGCCGGAAGTGTTCGAGCACCAGATTTTCAAATCGAACTCTAACTCTGACGGTTTCAACGTTTGCCTTTCGGTGACTGCAATACGTTAAGAGTTTCATTGGCACATCCTTGGCCTCTGAGGAGCACTATGTTTAGCTTTATGGTAGATTGGAGAAAAGCATCTTTCTTTTCACTCTGCAAGCTCAGTTCGAATTTGATTGAGTCAAGACAGCTGTTCTAATGATGTAAAGATGTGTCTAAATACGAAATGACCTCATATATTTAATCTGGAGTTTGACAGAAACCATTGAACATGATAGTGTGCTTCGTATCCTCATCACCCTGTCGAAATCTCTGTTGTGGCAGTCCTTGTCCGTATCGTTTTTATCATGCTTTCGTGATAATATCTGCTGGCCACCGCTACTCAGCGTAGAACTGCACTCTCTCGTCTCAGTCAGCGAATACCAGACAATACAAACAGCATTAGCCAGCACTTCGGCTCACTTGGTCGTTCGAGCCAGTCGCCCAGCCACTCAGTGGTAGGCGGTGATACTTTAGCGGCAAGCGGGCGCCAACGCCGAATAGTCCGCACAAATAGTATAGAAACAGCCTTTCACAGCAGAACACTACGGAGGATACACGAATTCATGACGATTTTTACTGCAGCAGTACATTCACGGCTGTTTCTGCTGTATCAGGAATGGGCCGAACACCCGTACTACCTTTGTTACTTGCTACGCCAGACTCCGCTGGAATGTCGCCTATCACTAGCTTCACTAACGCGGACACTCCTCGATGCAATTCTTTCCACTGCTTCCAACTCTGCTTGGTTCACTAGTAGTCCTAGGGCAGTATTGAAACGAACGACGAATAAGCAAAGCACTGTGCTGTAAGATAGCGATCGTGGTGTTGCGAGAGGCGAGCAAGGTCTAATCAGTTCCATTTGGTTTGAATTTGGGCGGGCTTAGGGGATCCATGCTGCATTGAGGCGCCGAAGACCGTTCAAGCGGTCGACGCACGTGAATACAGAAACGGCAACGGGAAATTTACTTTTTTGAATGCTACGAAACGTAAGACAATATGTGTTCCTGCGTGTGGATAGGAGGGCGTGCGGTGTCTTAATGACTAAATGCATCGAACCGGCCAGCAAGTGGATGAACATTTGTTGACTACTTAGAATTGGGGAGAGACCCAGTGTGGGAGAAGGCTTATCGTTCGCTAAGTGGGTAAATGCGGCAAGCATGGGTGGGGGTATTTAGAAATTGGCGCGAAAGAAAGCTAGTAACACTAACAACATGCGAAGTGAATCTATGAAACGGAATTAGGTGATTAACGCATTCCATAATGTAGTGGTAGTTAGATATGCAATCTGTGGAGAGCATGAAGAGAATTAGAATTGCGGTTAGCCTGCCCCGAGTATTACGTGCGCTTCTATAAAATATGGCTACTGCCTTTTGATCGACTGTTGTAAAGCTACTGTATACAGAACTATCGCAGGGTAGTGTATTATAGCTCTAGGTTGCCCAGTGCCCAGTCGCGGTAATAGCTTTGTGGCTTACGTATTTGCATGCTAATCGCCGAGCTTCGAAGTCGGGCACAGACAGAGCCATGGTTCATTTTGTGCTGGAAGCCAAGCGTGCTATGGAATGTCTAGCGGGGGTACCAGACGGAAAAAAAACTCGTGTTATGGAACTCTTGTATGAATTTGTAGCAAAAGTCAAAGGTAATTCAGTTATCTAAAGCATTATTTAAAAGAAAATTGCAACGTTATGGTGTTTCATGAATTAAGGACCGATGAAAAAACGAAACCAAATAGAGAAGTTATTTGCCTGGCAAGCTAGATGTTTATCATTCGATTTCTGGCACAGTTATGATCATCGCCGCTTTTAAAAGCAGTAATAATATGCAATCTTGGTCGGTATATGTTTGTTGACTATTATTATTTTAATTATTACTAATTACTACTTTTGACTGTAAAGAAAGTAGAGTAGAAATATAAATTTCACAAAGCATGCTCATATAATTAACATTTATTATATGGGCCCAAGTTTATACGAAATAATGTAGCGGAACTCTCGATATCGCAAGTCTTCTGAGACCTTCATTATTTGAATATCGGTGCGTATCGACATGTTAATCCATAAGACCTTACGTATGCACGGCCCGACCGCAGTAGCGACAAACGCGTACTTTTCTTTTGATAGCAGGCTTTTGGTTTTTCACTGCAGCATGTTATTCGAGCTAAACGCAAAAAGTAAAGCAACTCCAATAAGGCCCACTCTGACTAACCCTTTTACTATACCGATGCTGTACCGAAGGGTTGACTACGAGGACTGCGTGTACAAAAATGTATAAATAAAAATGATGTAAAAAATTGTAGTGTGTAACGTTGGCTATGAAGAGGATTCTGTGCTAATAATAGATAGCAATCATAGATCAAAACACAATCGAATAGCTTGCAATAGCCATTTTAGCGTATTGGACTCCTTTCACACGAGTTGTAGTGTCCGCCCTAGCCGATCTTTATGAAGAAATATCAGGCATCCTCGCGTTCGTGTTATTCTTGGTTTTTTGTGCTAATACTTCCGAAAGATATTAGCTATGGCGAAATCGTCGTTTTTTTCTTAATTTATCTGCGAACCCCCTGGCGGAGCCAAAGGTGGATAAGGAAGCTCACCTATATATCAATGAAGTCATATAGGTCGCGCATCTAGTAACGGACTATGCGAACACAATGGAACACGTCAATTTTTCGAGGTTTACATCGCAGTGTTTTAGGACGACGGACACGTCAGCGTTCAGACGTGAGGTCCCATGAGTCGACAATGGCTCACCCTGGAATACCATCGTAACGTACAGATTATCCGGCAAGTGGTTTCGTTAATCCGCTTCATTTTTTTAATGCAAATATACTGCACATGTGGAATAAGAAGGATTAAAAAAAGATGAATGGAGTCTCCATGATATCGGTTAGCCTTAGGCTTGTTTGGCAATAGGCATTTTTTCACCGTTACACGCTCGATTTCGAAAAATACTAGGATTTGCATACACTTTGTATAGTAAATATTGAAATGGAAAACAGCCCATTACACAGAAGCATTTACGATGGTAGCATTCAGTTGTCCATCGAATCTTTGTACCCGTTTATAAACGTGCGTCTCGAATATTCCATTTAATTCCACTTGAGGATTCCATTTTTTAGTTCCGCCATTGTCTGCAAGCGATTGCAGAGGAACTGCTTACAGCCATGACTGGCAAGAAATGATTGTACCTCCAAAATGAGTGCGCCATCAGGATTATAATTCAATGTTAAACAACCCCGGTCGATGTTAAATCAATGTATGTCTATATCTTTATTAGGCCGTTGGGAACTAGTACGCGGTAGACCGTTAATGTGAAAATCAGATCTCCAACAAAGGGGTAGTACTGTTGAATGTCGAAGCCATTCAAAACCAAGAGTAGATAAATTTAGGTAAAATTAGGATTTTTGCAGATAACGACCTTGAGTCAATTGTTTCGGTCTCCTCTCTGTTCGAGATAAAAAGCTACAATAAGGTCGACCAGTTGCACGATTTCTATGAGTTATATCTATTAGTTTAAAAGTCTAAGATTTTAGAGCGAATTTATCTGTCTACTCTGTCTATTTGTCTACCTATCTATCGGTAAACCTTTGCTAAAGTAATCATGATTTTTAGAAAGGTAAAACGTTTCATCGCTAACAGTGACTGTAACAATAAGTCCAGGCATTAATCAGCTTTCTGTAGTCCTAATGAAGATAATTTTACGTTGTGGGTATTATGGACAGAATTCTCGGTCCGGCTGAACTCGAAATAGTTGAGGACGATGAGACAGCAGGGAAAGTGCTTACTAAACGTCCATTGCGGGCGTAAAATCGGCATGGTCATATAACGTCTAAACCAAGTGTTAAGCTCATCGTTGCAGAAAAACTTGTAACGTTAAGCAGTGAAACTACGATTTCTGACTCTCAATTGATTACGGCAATGGCTGTGACGAGGACGAGTTCTGCCGATAGCAGTAGTTTATTTAGGTTTGATAAGCGTAGGGGTATGAACTAAGCATACGAATGGCATATTAGGCTATCTAGGTATACAATTTATCCTTATTGCGTATGCTAAGAGGTCGTCTGCTCAGTAATACTGAATCGGTTCAGTGTAACATAGGTCTAATTACCATAACACAAGTATAATGATGTTAATATTCAAGTGTTCGTTGACCGGCGTCAATCGAAGGTGTAATGTGTTTTGTGATACCTTTGGGTTCCGTAGCGGGGTTCAGGCAGTCGCTATTTGAATTCTGCTTCGAACTAAATTTGAGAACACTTAATACTTGGTGTAGTATAAATTGATATTATTCTTGTATTTGCCCCATATTAAGCGTATTTAACGGTTTATCATCTAAGTACTCAGTATTCGCCTGCAAAATAGTCGCCCTTTCTATGCAGACGAAGTTGGGCACCCTGAAATCTTCTGTATGCTTTACTATGATATGCATATATATATATATGGACTGATGCGATCTGTACGTATGATACAGGGCGGACGTGAGCCAATGGACCGCAGCTGCTGGATCTTTTTTTTAGCTTACGTTGAAGATTTCGCTGCAGCAAGAATTTTGTGCATAGTCTAGTCACGTGACTGGGTCAAGCTGATTAATAAACATTTGAAGAAATTAAGGAATTAAATATCGTGATACTACTGTCTCGCTGCCGACAGTCCTGAGAAACATGGAGTTTGTAAGTAGCACTTAGAACTTCTGTGCTTCAGAAACTAGAATATCACAGCGGTGATGAAGTCCTGGCAGAATATCAAACAGCCTAAAATATATACCCAGTAGTTGCGCAAATTTAGCAACAGTGAACTTATCACTGAGAACTAATAGTGTGATAAGACGGCCTGGTTCTCAGCGAAATGCATGTCTTGAAGTGTGGACATCGAAATCGCCCTCTAACTCAATGCATAGTCTATAAACTTCACAGTAATCTTATTTTCCAAACTGATGTCTCGTTAGCGTCAAATATAGTCGATTGCAATGCAATAAAGCAAACCGAATAAGCTTCAATCAAATGATAGTTAGACCTTGAATTATCGTATGAAGTTCGATCAGTGTATAGTGACTTTACGCTCACAGTATTAGGTCATGATAAGCAATGTTTACGAATCCAATGTCCTACTTCTACTCCAGGAGGGAAACTCTGTCAAATGCATGATGGAGCAGATGGAATTGTGCATGTCTGAATCTCATAAAGATCCGACTTCTTTCGAAGCCGAATGGACATCGGAGCGACTTGATGAAATTGAGATCACGAAAGGTCAGGTTTGCGTTTTGCTTCGATAGGACTATCTCAGTTTCGGATTCAGCTGAAACCAGTTGGGGCATAAAGCCGTTAGGGCAGGTCAAAAGCAGGTTAAGCACTGCACGGGACGGTAGTGCGCAAAGTGAAAGAATTTGTTCAGCTTGGCAGCTTCTTAATTTCGTATGATATTAGCTTACCCCCCCCCCCCCCCATGTCGAACTATTAGTGATTGAATCTGCAAAAAATTGGTTAGTGTAACTAGATAAAGTTGTTTGAAAAAGTTATTCATGTTTAAGTATTAATCACATCTACTCCTCATCAACGTATCGTAGCACGCGTCTCGTGTCGCCAGTATCAGGTTTCCGAACGAGATCAGACTACTTAAAAGTTTTCGAACAGAATAGCACTATAAATTATTTACGTGTCAGGTCACAGCGTATTGAGTAGACATAGCGCTTCAACTAGCCGACAATTGAGTCGCCGACCTCATCGGGAACGATTGAATTGCCTTCTTCTAAGTCCATATAGCATGTCCTAGGTGACTGCGTAAGGGACTTCTACTTGACGATGGAACAAGGTACCGGCCACCTCGTTTACCGGTCGGTGAACGGTCGTCTTGGGCGGAGGAGCGCGCTATTCAGTCCCATTAGTGAGTGCCTCGGTAAAGACGAGACACAAACGTCCAGCAGTGCTAATAGCTACTATGCGGATATTGCGACCTCGAATATTACGTTCGGTGAACTCAATGAGGAATTCGCGATGTCCGTAACTGCGCACGGATTTGCCCGAATTGCCCTAACGAAAAAACATAGGTAAGCGGGTCAGTGTTCAATTAATATCGATCTATGAACTGAAGATGGCGTAAGCGGATATACAAAAGCTAACGTACTCATTCGTTGATGCTCTCATGCGTTCCAAGTTACGGTGTTATAAAACAAACCTTTTAATAAATGCACTATGATTTCTATCATTACTATCATTGTGCATTATTTACTTGCTACTGTTTTAGTCGCTATGGTATATTCTATATGACATATACATATTGTTTACTGAAGATACAAAGTTACGATGGATAAGCATCAAAAATAAATAGACCTAAATAGAAACAATTCAACTTCTGGTCGTTCTGTATTATAGGTTGGTTTGCGAAAGAAACACGAATCGGTCCTCAGTTGACGTGTACGAGTTATTTCTTCGCTCGCTTATCAGACCTGTAAAAATCTTCCTAATAGTTGAATCCTGCGTGCCTGTCTCACTGCTGTTTACCTTTGGCTTGGCTTCAGGATTCGGCAGATCTTCTGGATGATCTTTGTCATCTGCGCGGTGTTAGGTTTTCTGTACCATGTGAGTTTCCTTTTAGGGAACTATTTTGACTATCCTGTTTCGACATCAACTGAAGAAATCCACGCAGCCGAATTGGACTTCCCTGCTATCACGCTTTGCAACCTAAATATTTTAAAGAAGACAAAGTTTGAGGCATATCTAAAGGTGCGTTAATTTCCCGATATTGAGCAAAAGCGCGAAGCGAAGTGACCCCAGAGTCTTGTTTTAGTTTGTCTCTGAAATGGGGTTTCTAATTTCGGACGGCCTTGTTGAAAGGGTTTACTTTAAAGCGATTAGATAAACGTACAGATGTGTGCATGCAAAAATTATATTGAATAGATAAACACGCAACTCCTGTCCAGGGTATTGCTAGCACAGTGTCAACTTTTCGAAGGTATGGTAGAATTCAATTTTGCGAGATCCACGTATTGTTGTTTAGGAACGGAATACTGTACGGTAATTTTGCCTGCTTCGTTAAATGTCCGAGAGCCGAAAATCAAAGTCAAAATTTAATTTTCTTTTCTATAATTTTTCAACATCAACATGTAGGTGACACTCAAGTATAAACGGACCTTCAAAGTGGAACGATTTTAGTTCTATATTCGAAAAGTTTATACAAGAGAACGTACCACATGTCTCATATCCCCATGCGTTTCACCCTCAGGATACGATCAAACGTCAAGAAGAGCAGGAAGCGCAGACTTCAGAGATGCCAGATTTCCTTGCGACGACGTCAGCGGCCGGACTTAAGGGAAACGACGAACTCGATTGTTTTAAGTAGATTGACCTCTATTAACGCACCTAGATTCAATCTAAACTAATGGAAAGCTCAAACTTGATTTGCCATCTAATCGTGCTGGCGATTGGACAGAGTTTGGATCTTTTTGCAACCCATTATGCCATATATTTATTCCTCGACTCTTCACTTTTTTTCTACTGATTTTTTATTGCTTTTCAGGACTACTGGCGAGATTGTAAATCGAAGTCGAACTATGGATCTTAGCGATATGTGGATAAATTTGGTGACGACCAAAAAGCAGTTAAAGGATTTTGGCCATCAAGCGGCTGATATGATTGTTCAATGCACGTATTCGTCTAAAGACTGTTTCAACTCCAGGTAACACACATTATTGATTCTGATCACTTTAGATGGGTAGTGACGATCCTTCCACTGAAAATCTAGCTAGACATCTGACCTAGTATTGACTGATCATTAAAACCCAAGAAGGTTATACATTTTTTATAACTTAATCTGCTCGAAAAAAAAAAAAAGAAAAAAAAATATATATATATATATCAGGAGTGCTTAAGTTGCAACGCCAAGAACTTGCAAGCATAATGTGCGCAGTTTTGACTTAGCCACATACTAATTATGCATGTTGTACATTCGCAAGCTCGTTAGTAAGACATATTATAGTAGTTATTAAGTAATAATTAGTGAGGATTAGTGAAAATATAAATTTATCTGCTGTGTCATTCTGGCGGATTATTATTGTCTGGATTGCTGTGGAACGCTGCTGATCTTAACGGCTCTAGAAATATAGCGAGCTGAATTCACTAATAGTTTTAGCCATAAAGTCATACGGGAATTACGATTTCACTTAATTAATTCCGGTTCGATCTATTCAAAACGAAGGTACATCACGTAAGTTCACATTGTTGAGAAATAGGTCTACCCATTCGCCGTATTCTGAGTCACGTGTGCTTTTCTATTTTAGTTCATCGATTGTACAGAATACGCCCTACGAGTCGCCCCGCTACGGTCTCTGTCATAGCCTGACTTTAAATACGGAAGAACGAAAGACGGTAAAAAGCGGAGCTGGCATGGGTCTTCTGCTGACAATCAATATCGAGCGGAATGAATACCTTGACATCGTCTCAGGCGAATATGGAGCGAGAATGGTTGTCCACGCGGTGGGAAGTCGGCCTACCTTGGACACCGGCGGTATGATCCTGCTCCCCGGTAGCAAAACGTACATCGCGGTTAAAATGGTCCGTATAGCGGGGGTCATCAGAAGAGCCTAAGACCGTATAGATTTTGATGAACTCTCCTAGTGCAAAGATATCGCGATGTGCACGCGGCTTTCTATACGATCAAATCGAATTGTGTGTAGCCTGAAAGATACGCATTAGTAAATATTGATAATTTAGAAGTTCATGAAGTTACAATGCTATGTAGTGGTGTAAGTCGACAGTCTGTAGAGTAAATAAACTAGTATTAGCATTTCGAGTGATACTTACGGGGAAAGGGTACACACAGACAGCGTCAATAGCACGCGTGATACTAAGCTAAAAGTTTTGGTATCACGCGTTCTATTGGCTTTGAACTATTGCACTACGATAAAAAGAGAATTGAGACAAGTACAATACAGTAAACGTAGTGCAGTTATTTCGTTACTACGAGATCAGTTACATATTAGTTGTTAATGCTGATGTAGGATAAAGGAGCGTCGATGTGTGATATTAATTATAGCTAATGGAATTATTCTTCGTTTGTGACGTTTTCAGCGACAAATCATCCGTCTCCCTGATCCATACCGGGGATGCACAATGAATTTCTCCGACAGCCCTTTGACTAAGCATCTAAAGCGGTTCAAGCTTGAAAACCTTATCGGCAAAGACGTTCTCTACACGCTAGACGTAAGAATTGCACTTGAGTAAAATGTCCCTATACAGAATCAGGATCGGAATCGATTCAACTCTGATGAACTTCTTAAGTTTGTTCGTCATCAGAAATGCTACTCAGACGTTTTTTTGATAATGATGCGCACAATTTTGCATATGTTTATCACCCCATCAACGGTTGAAAGTGGTAATTGGCCAAAATCATTAATTCACTCAAAAGCACGCTTTCCGCGTTTAAGTTATTGAGTTCTGTCGTCATTTTATTAACGGAATGGCGGTAGAAGTTCTTAATAAATCCATTGGATAACATATTCAAGTTGTATCTTAAAAGTGGAACTTCGTTTCTCTTTGAATTGAATGACTTCCCATTGCGGGCGGTTATTGTTATTGCAGTATTGTCAAACGGTGTGCGCGGAATCATTTCTGTTTCGAGCATGTCAGTGTCTTGACGAGTTGGCTGCGGATCGGTTAAATGACCGGTTTGGTTCATGCGACCCGTGTAACGCAGATCAGTCTCGATGTCGAAGACAATTTTACCGCGCTTTCACAACGTCCAGCAGCGGAAAGCGTTGCAGAGAATTGTGTCGACCAGAGTGCAAGTACGTTCAGCATTAATCGGTGGGGGGGGGTCGCGTGAGCATGTTTCGGCAGAGTGTGAATAGATTTGTCGTATCGGAATGAATTAGTATTAATTTTCTAGGAAATCCAAAGTTAATTTTTGCAAAATTTCTTTATATTTATAACTTAAATGCGAGACTTCGATTCATTTTTTTTTTTTAGAGAAAATATCGCAACGAACAATTTTTCCGCTATTCGTAGCGAAAGCGGTCGGTGTACCCCAGTCGACTCTGAGGGAAAACAGACTGAGGGAAAACGTAAATTTGGGCATGCGTATATATATATAGCTGTTCATAGGCGGTTCTTTTCAAGAGGAGATGGGTACGAATATTCGTTGCAGAAAATTTACCTGAAACTAATATGTCGATCCGTACATACAGGATCTTAACACAGGTTGCGGAGCTATGTCGGGTTGAACCGAGTTTTTAAATAACCAATAACAATAAACTATGATATTATTCTGTCTGAAATTTTAAGTTTGGCCTATTCCATAAGTGTTTCATTAAATACCTATTAAATAAGTCAAGTATATCGTCTATTTTAAGCGATAGGTAACGAGATATAATAATCTGATTTATAATCTGGCCTTATGTTTCAGAACATAAGACAGGGTCTGTCTGTCTGTCTGTCAGACCTGAGATTTTTCATGATATGAGGCCAGTCTGAAGAAATAGCTTTTTTTTTCTCACAAATCGTAATCTATTTCGTAGGATAAAGATAGCACTGGATTAAACGTCGATCGTCTCGGTTCCCTTTCATGCAGCCAATAAAAAAGCTATGTTAAATAGTCGAAGGTATACACAGTGCAAGCGATGATAATGGCCCTCGGAATATTTGCTGTGGTACACTGTAGAGTGAGATATACACCTTTTTCGCATGGGTTGAACCTCGTCGTTTTTTTTCCATTTCTGTATCTATATATTATTATCGATAAAACAGGACCAAATATTTAACAGCATCAATTTCTTTTTTTTAGCGAGATTCGCTACGATATTACTACATCTCAATCGGAATGGCCTAATTTTCGAAACCAGTACGAGGCCATAACGCGATTCCCGATAGTCAACAGACGACTGGAACAGAGTGGCGTCAACTGGAGTCTTGTCGCAGATTCCGACAATGACTTAAACTTCATCGCTGGAGCTGACGAATTTCGAAAGAACTTCCTTCGTGTTCACGTCTATATTCAGGAAATGAACTATCTTAGTGTTAAGGATGAGAGTTCGTACTTGGTAAATAGATAATCGTAGTGAGTGGAGAATATAATCACGTATTTCGTGTCGAATAAAGTGTTTTATCTTTACGTCAGGTATAGGAACTGTTTGGTATTGCTTCAAATGACTAGCTGGATGTTGGGCAGGCTATGTCTATGCCCGGATTCAGACCTAGACAATAACATATCTATGTTCAGTAGGCAAACATAATATCACTGCACTACAGTACGAAGATAAGATATGTAGTCTCTATATGACAGGAACTATTATTTTTAAAGTTTGGTTGCCTGAAGCCATTCATATGGTGTACAAATACATAATGATACATATACATGTACAAGTGTATAAGCATCATTTTCAAAAATTAAGGCCAGCAGGACTTAGATTATTAGATTGACGGCTCCTTAATAGATACACTGTACTAACATTTATGCGTTTCGATTATGCGTATCTCGTTAGATGAGTCAGCTTATTGCAGACTTAGGTGGCTGCCTCGGATTGTACATTGGCGTTTCGGTGATTTCATTAATGGAGTTCTCCGAGCACTTCATGCGATGCTTTAGCTTCGGCTGCGATCGGGTCGTCAGGCCCCTGGCGAAAAAGCATCGGAGGGCTTTGGTAGCAAGATTTCTGCGTCGCCGAACAGCCCGACGTATTCTGACGCCCACATTGGTGCCGCCCAATCGATTGGAGCTGGCCTTAACGCCTTCACAGCCTGGAGATGGAGAAAATTACACGTATGGAAGGTTTCTCTAAAATCGATTTGAATAACTTGTACGCGATTAAGCTATCTGAGAAGTAAACATGAGCGTGAGAAAAACTAGCTAATTATTGGTTAAATGGGTAGGGAGAAAACTGTAACTTGATTTTGTTTATTTGTAACTAGACATCATAGTGACCGGATAGTATAACGTAAGGGGCATACTAGAAAATGTTTTTTTAAGAGATCGCCTTTTACTAGATCACTAGTTAATGCATAATTATATATTACCTGCTGCTCAAAAGCGGATCGTTGATTAGCAAAACAAAGTTCGTGCGAAGTGTCCAGGAACCATCCAACTTTTGCCGGTTATATTTTTATTAGGATGTTGTCTCGCATTAGTCGGCGACATCCGAGATTCTTCCGGCAGGAAAGCAATGCGGGAGATCCGATTCCGCATGGTATAGCGGCTGACGATACTGCTTCCAGCGATCGAAAACGGTTCAGAGTTGGTCCACCAGCTTATCCAGGATTTCCGTCCGCATCACATAATATGGAAGGGACCAGCAAATACAGCAGGCTCAAGCGAGGCACGCGTGAAGGTAGCAGGGAACCGAGTAGAGAACGATCAGAGCCGATCAATCCTCGTGAATGGATAAGTCGAAGAAACGACGGCTTCCAGGAAATCGTGCAGGCTCGGCAAAGGCTGCAGAAGCTGGCGAGACCCATTGCTGCTAACGAATCTTTGACGCATACTGTAGTCAATCGTACGTAAGTAGCAACAATAGTAAACGCAGTAACGAGACAACGCTTGACGACAGAACAATATTCCGTGAGAACAGTACAATAATTTCAGTATTCCACGTCAGGTGGCAGAAAAATGATAAAATTCATGAATATATTGAATCGATAAATTTTTGTTAATATTAAGACAAATGAGCAATGACCTATTTGCGGTTTTCGAGATGTTCGATACTTTTTCAGCTAATCTACTTAATATTAATAACGAACGTCCGCCTAGAAGAACGCCGGGCCGTAGGATATGCCTGTGCCACGACTAATATTTTTGCTATGATAAATTAGCGTCCTGAAATCTACTTCATCGATATTACAGCGGGCGAAGTCAACGAAAGATTTTGTTGCGTTTTTCGATAGTTATTTACAACGTACTTTACGCTTAACAATGGCCGTTTGACTAATGAATGTGTAGTGTATAATGATTCATCAAAAGCCTAACGTTTAGTTGCTGGATTTTGCGTGTGATACAAAGCTATGCCGTTCGTTAAGGAATGAGTTATGGCGAGCTGAAAAAGCCTACCCACTAATGATTTGAACACATTCATAATAAACAATTATTATGAATTGAAGAACTATTTTGAGGCCGCCGAATCAGCATAAACCAGGAAAGCTCATGCAAAACTCGATTAGAAAATGTCTGAAGTGGAACTAATACACGGAAAGTGGTTTAAATGCAGAGGTCGATTTGGTAATGATAAAAGACTAGATGTTGTTAGTCACTACTACTATAAAATGTACTCACAAGTTATTGTTGCTATTGTTATTATTATTACTATTATGTAAATGCGGGGTACGATTATCGATGTAAACTTTACAATGTGGAATTAATTTTTCAATATACGTTTCATGAATGATGCCTAAAATACTCTCATTGATAACGGAGAGCAACACAGCCATGAAAAGAAAAATTGGTTCTTTAGAAATGAAGTCACTTTCTTGTATAGCAGGTACCTATACATTTAGTTAAAGTGTGCACGTACATGTGCGCGAAAAGGTGTGTGGATAATTTATTACTAATAAAAACTGTGCACTTGGAACCTATATGATTTTCTAGGATATATGCACCTCTATGAAATAGTATTAATAAAATAAACCGTATACTCAAACAATTCCAAGAAATCATAGTGCACCAAAATCTGTCGACAGTTAGTCTGTCAGAAACGGTAAGTAGCAGACGGTATACTCGATCTGATCTGATAAAACCTCACTATCGTTGCAATAATAACACAAAAAAATCGCCACCTTCATCTATAATAGGTATCTAGAAAAGCATACCCCGTAAGTGCGTGGCGACTTTATTCAAATTATTCGAGTTGTTAATATCTTATTGTTAATATTAGCACACCGCGCACTTACGAGATATGGCTTTCACCATTCTACGTGCATAAAGACTTCTTCTTGGGTACTGATGCTCAATGGGTTAAGCGGTGTCCAAAAAAAATATCGCTTTCAGGAGCTCCAGTTTTGCAACCCACGTAGCATGTCAGAACAGCTATAAGCGTTTCGCCGCCACGCACATCGCGTCGGCTTTGAAATAGCCGTGTTTAATCATACCAAAAATACGAATATACGTTCTCTGCCAAATGTCTCACTTAAAATATTCCGGGATCCAAAACAAATATCGGGAATTTGGTTCTGTAGCATTTACTCGTGCCTTAATCGTCCGACTAAATAAGGAAGAGGTCCTTAAAATAAATCTCCGTTAGGCGCAATGTATCTGTCCTAACCTTTCTTTCATACTGTTTAAACATAGTTTCGAAACCAGTCGTGAGAACAGGTCTTCCTCTCGGAAGTTTCCAAATATTTTTTATATTTAAGGAGTAGAGAAATCTCAAGGGTTAGACCAGGTAAGTTAGGGGAGTTAAGGCAAAATAAGTAGGATATTTCTGCCAGAAGCGCGATTCAAATGGCAACATCTGCATGGGTGCATTATTGTGGTAAGGATTTATTTTTTTAGAGTTCAGGCCTCGTTTAGTGATTACGTTGCGCAGCCGTCCTAAGGATTCTTGCTGATCCTTTTTAGTGACAGTACGATGACTCGACGTGAATTCATAAAGCACAGGTCCTCGATAATTAAAAAAACGATTTTCAACCTAGATCGTATGGCTTTATTCGACTTGGATCTTGAAGAAATACTCCTAGAATTCTATTTTTATCTCCATGTTATACCCATAGACTTACGTCTTATCATTTCTATCAATACCTTGAAGCAAATCCAACTCTTTTTTGGGGTCGTTAAGGCTCCTATGAGGTGGTTCACGATGAGACTGAATTTTCTCTAAAGTTAAGGAGCTTGGCACAATTATTTCTGCGAGTTTTCTCTCTTCCAAATAATAATTATGAAAAGGTAGTCTGGATTTAATTCGGGACGTTCCGCTCTTCTCGAGGCCTTTTTAAATTGAGTTTTTCGATATTTCTCCGAAAATGACAAAGACAGGTACATGGCACCATAATAATTGTTCCGGACAGGGTTTTAGTCGACAAGGCCGTGCGTTTTATAGCTATTTTTTAACACACCAGTCTCCCTTAATCTCTAATGAGGGCGTATCTCCTATTCCATATAGAAAGAAAAAACGTAAGTCCCTCGGAGTACGTACGAATCGAATAACATGATCGATAGCTATGATAGTAACAACAAATTAAAAATTAACAGAGACACTGTTATTCACTTAGCGTAACTAAGAAACAGTACCATCTAATTTACATAAAACTCAAATGATCATAGCAATAAACAATTATTGATGTTTATTTTTACTTTACTTAAATTTACACATTTCTCTTCTTCTACTAAATGATAGGGAAATTTGTAGAAACAAATTTAATGAAAAGTTGTTGCAGTATATAGTATCGCAACAAATCACATCAAACCGTTTCTTCGAAGGAATATTTTTGTTTTTAATTCTCTTGAAGATAACAGAACAGAGTTATAAAGAAACAGGGCAAGCGAATTAGCACTTGAATCAATTGTAACTGCTATAATAATCTAATAAGATTTTCCTAACGCACTTGTTAATACACACTTATTACTGTAAAGTACTAAAGCATCGAAATTTTCTCTGCTGTTATTTTAGACCGCTAAAATTCAAAATCGACTTTTAGCCACTCGTTTATTCCTAGCCGCGTAAATGACCTCGTATTTCTTATGGAGAAAAAAGTAGTAAAGTGAGCAATATCTTTCTGATTGTCTTTTCTATTCCTTTTCTAATTTCCAGCTTAATCAATCGCGTATATTCTTTTCATATGGAAAAACACTAGATTCGGCATGGTGAACAAGATGAAACAGGCGGTTCCGCCAACTAACAGACTGAAAGAAAAATGTAAGTCTACAATTTTTGTTCTTCCATTTAAAAACGGAACAAATGTGAGCGCTTCGGGAACGTCTCGATTGAAATAAAATACTAAAAGGTAATAAACAGAGACAAAGACTGGGATACCGGCAACGCTCAAAAGTCTCGAAAAGACGCCGCGTCGAATCGGCACGTGGACCGAGTCCATGGCGAGATTGAATGCGTTCTGTAGAAAGAAAATACGCTCAGGATAGGTCGCCGCATAAAGGATTAAGCAAAAAATGACTGCGGTCACAATGACGACGGGTACAATCTTAATTAGCTTGCTCATCAAGGAATTTTGCTTTTTCTGCAGACTGGAGTGTCGTGGACGAGGATAAAGAGTGCTGCACGAATGCAGCGACAAAGCAGTACGTTGCATCGGACGAAGTGGGGTTGATGTGTGACCAGCCTCCGAGTTTGTTCTTCCTGATCCCGATTCTAGTCTGCTCTTTCTCTGTTTAGAATCATTACGTCTGACCAAATTTATCCGTGGGTGGTATATCTGATTCGATGAGCCATCATTGGGTCGTACGATCTCTTGCTCACTTTTGTCTGATACGGTGCTCTCGGACTGCGATAGGCTTGCTTTTGTTAAAGTAATCGAAGGTAGTGTTGAAGACTTTTGGCATTGTTGGTCGTCTTCGTGACGACGCGCTCTACCGAGGTATCCAGCCGACACAGGTGTCACTTCACGCACCCCTGGCATGATCAGTACGTCGGAAAAGTTTCAGCTCGACGCTTACGTTGTCTAGAGAAATACAAGCAGATAAGATAAGTAAAATTCACTCCTTGACTTATTCGTTATGCTCGGTTATACTGAGTGTTTTAAACAGGTGATTATAAAACAAAAGAGCGTATATTGCAAATGAGGAAGCGAACAAACGAGGGAACAATAGACGTCCTCTAGTTAATAAGTTCTGATAGACTACACTGAATTATAGCATTCACCAGGAATTGAACAAAGTCTATCAGGTTTTTGGGGTGGAAATACATTAGAATGATCATATCGTATTTTGTCATTGAAGTATTATAATATCGACGGAACATTTTTTAACAACGATGAGGCAAGAGGGCTTGTTCGTAAGCATTTTATCGCAACTTTCGGTAGACTGCAGCTTTAAAAAATACAAACTGAAAAAGTTGTGTGAGTACTATTCTGGAAGCTTTTTACTAACTCGATTTTAACGTCTGCTTTCGGATGAGTACAATGGCCTTTCTTCTAATCAGACTAATCCATATACTGAGTCTTCTAATCCTTCTAGTTTGGCTCAAATTCCAGGAATGGAGATTTGAAGGTCTCGCACCTCATTACAATCGCAAACGAGTCCTGCCGTTAACTCCTGTTATTGGTTTGAGATATTCGCGTTAAGAGCTTGAAATTCCCGCATAACAAATGCGAGAGACTTGCAAGACTAGCACACACAAATGCTGCACATTTTCGTATCAAATAGTTGACAATTCGGCGTCATTTGTTATAAAAATCACTTTACATCTATCACTATCATTGCTGGGTACAGTTAAAGCGTACTCGCATTTTATCAATACTCAAATTTTTAATTATAACAATGCGAACGTTACCTGATAATGCGGTCCAGATAGCAACATTCATAGAGTCGATAGATGCATAGGGTGTTACTCAGCTAATCTACGTGCAGGCGCAAGTAATACATACAGAACGTGCTATATACGAGAAAACAAAACAGGACAAGACAAAATTATCGAACACTTATGGTCATGTTCAATGTTAAAAGTGACATGAAAGTCGTACATTTATTAAATTGCAGAGTGCACTTTATTGCCTTGAGAACTGCCGACTGATCTGGGCAAGCAAGAGTTAAGTTTTTTTTTTCGACTATCTTTGTAAGGTAAATGCATAAAGGCATAGTGACTATGGACGCTATCATACAACAAAAAGTATTGATAAAGAAAGAAGCTTTAAAAGTGTTTATGCTATCGGGCGATATTGTCACCGTTCCCGAACCTGTATTCCGTGCATCCCCGAACCCGGGGGCTTAACCATGAAAATACTGGATACATTTGAACGTTGAAAAACGGCATATTTTTCATAATGACCAATATTAACCTGCCATTTCAACAAAGTCTATTTTTGCCGATTTCTCTAAACGAACGAAGGCTTGGTAAACTTACTTGGAAAGGCCTGATTCGTTTGAAAGTTAATAAGTTGTCAGTATTCGCAATCGTGATTGGTACAAGTCCGTATGTTTCCTTTCCGGTTGCATTCAAGTGGCAAAGGTCTTGAAACAACTGGCTTCAGGATGTCCGAACACGATGACCGATTATAAATGCATAGAAATGCAGTATCAGCACTTCAAATCGATACGATACGAACAACTATAGAATCTAATGGAATTGCACCATAGCACATAGAACGTTTTATTGTCGAAGTTCAGATCGCTATTTGCATGATCAGCTGGAGCACCATTAGTACTTCGCGTATCGAATGGTTTACGCTCAATATCAAAATCGATCGACTAAAATATGGCTACATTCATTTGCGGCAAACCTATCAACGTTTTTCTGATTTGACTTGTGCCTAAGTAAAGTAACCATAAAAATCATTAAAGAAAAACGACTTTTTCTAATTAGACATAGCGTAAAATTCTGTGTGAATTTGTAGAAAAAAAATTGTAAATCGCTGAATAGGCCCATTCCGCCATGGTTTTAGTGGTGGCTTAATGGTAAATGGCAGCTAAAACTTTAAAATTCAACCTAGTGACCGTTCAATCAACTTAATCCAGTGTCCGACTGCGTATTTGATTCATTTATATCATTCGATCTCTAATAGAAAAGCATCAACAATTCGTATTTGGATAGTTTTATTTCACTATATACACTATACGTTCCTCTACGCGACATATGTGCGATATATATTACTTTACAAAATGTATATGTGCCGTGTTGGAACGAGTTGTTCTAGCTACGATAGGGCAAGCCATAAACTCTATTAGTCTGCAAGGGGTATTTCGGTGAGGCGTTACGCCGGTCACTGGTTCTTCTATCTTGACTGTTCGGTTGTCTTTGTTGAGAGCTCCAGAATTATGCAAATAGGCAGGGTCGCGTATGTACTTTATTTTGTTTTCTTTTTATTGTTAGATCTCGACGCTGCCACAGCAAGGAGCCTGATCTTTCTTTTTAATTAGTTCGAGGCCCGAGCAACGTCTACTTAATATACAAGATTTATTTTATTATTATTCTCGAAATGGTGACCAGCAAATGACAAAAGCATTCGCGCGCACCGGTACGGTTTTTGATTTTATAGAGAAAATAAAAAAAAGGCTTGTGCAATATTGTAGAATCTTAATTGTGTCTGTTTTTCAACACACAGTAGAACAAGTTACTGTAGCCGTAGACAATAACAGTTTTTAACGTTCTGTCGCAGATAGGATCACCGTGACGAAATGTCTATGCTGTGCATTATAATTTTATTGCAGTTAACTATATAGACGTTATTCGTTCGCTAAAACGGAAAACTAAAACAACTAACTGAGACTTGAAGACCCACAATTGCCGGTGGGGAAGAGCCATATACAAGACAAAAGCATGAACGTCCTGACAGCTTTGAAAACGGGCACTTGACAGACAGTCTGCAATTGATCTTTCTCATTACATTTAACTTCGTCACTATTTTAACAGATGTAACATAAAAACTGTCAAGTGAATGATTTCAAATTGTTTTTGCCTTATCCTGTTGATCAATTAAGCAGCATGATATAATGGTCAAATGTAAAAAGACTTTTTCGGTGAATAATGACAAATGAAACTTATTCCGACACCACGGAAATCGCTAATAAGTGTTATACTAGAATTCTAAATAATTAGTTAGTCTGAAATACTTACGATAATTAGAAAACATTATGGACACGTAAAGATGTAATTGTAAAAAGGACTGCCGAAAGCAATATTATGTTTATACGTACACAGCTCGTTTTCAAAGGTAACTGAGCGAAGATTGACAAAACAGAACGCCCACACACGGCCTCAGATATTTTTGTGCATTTTTTCTTTGCTCATAACAGTTGGGATTTTGTTTTTTTGTCCTTACTGTAGCAATTCTGTCTTAACATGCGCATGAGAGGTGCGCTTCACTTAACATCACTTTTAAGGTACTGAAACACCCTCTACTGCGTCTAAGCACTTTCAGCATCTAGAGAGGCACTGAGGTTTGAAATGTACAATGTTGTACCTTATTCCTTCTGAATCTGGTCGAAATTGTAAAGCCATTTAGAAAATATTCGTGGCAAAAGATTCTCGCCTAAGCAATATGCAGACAGGTATACTGGCTCTAAAGATGCACCGCTTTTATATGGACCTAGATACCATATGTGTAATGTTCGTTTACCATCTGGTCATATATTGGCTCCATCAATGTAACAGCAGGTAAATATAGATTTCGATGACTATTTACCCCCTCATTTGAACATTTTCCTGGTCCCGTATTACTTTTTCCGTTTGCATAAATACACATAGATTGTTTTTTTCTCAGTTGACTTGTTTTGAATGTCCCCCGGAAGCCATGCTCTTTACAGTTAACTTAAAGGAACTTTATTGGCGATGCAACACCTGCCTCAGCAGATAAATTCGAGAAAAGCATGACTGCCATTGTTCAGACAATTTTTTTTGACAGTGTTTACGTTTTACAACCATAGACAAATCGGACTACACTGTAGCATCTTTTCTACGCTTGCCACGTCAGCTAGCTGGGAAAGCCAACGTCAAATACGGTCAGTTCACTATGCATAGGCACGTTACAATAGCACGATCACGTCGGCAATAGCTACAAGTGGCTTCACTTGCTCAGGCTGGTACCCAGGCGTGTCCGATTCCATTGAGGAACGTGTTAAACGTCCTAGATAAACAGATTATCTCTATGATAGCGGATATCTCTAAAATTGTGCTCGTATAGCACTCCACTGCGCATTGCGTCTATGTTTTTTTCAGAGCTTTACAGATTGTTACCTTTATTTCATAATAGAACTCATAGCAAAAGTAAATTTTTGCCCCGTCTTAAGCGTGTCTCACACGGTGGTGCAATTGAACAATATATATATATATATATATATATATATATATATACTGTAGATTTGTGCGGTTTTTGCGTTCCATATGACTCAGTTAAATACTGAAACTGTTGTGAATAGCTTTGGTTAGCTTTGTGTAATGCTATAGATTTTATTATTGTTTTGCTTGGAACGGGTAGCTCTGAGTATCATTTATTTACATAATATTACAGTGCCTGAATAACGGCATGATTTTATAGAGGTTATCTAAGTTAAGTAGCTAATTCACTTCTGTTGCTCTGGTAGTGTACATATGTATATATATACATATAAAGTATTTTTGAGCTATTGACAGTTGTAGAAATTACATTGCTTTTGTGCTGGTTTCAACGGCCATTTACATTGCCCTGATAGCTATTACATGTTTCTCTACCAACTTGATTTGCTTGCATTTTTCTTCGTTGTCTTCCGAAATCTTTGTCAAGCGTATTTTTTGCATGCATGCTTATATTCTCTAAAGTCGATCCATGGAATTTTAGGTTGTGTGCAACCTTAGCTCCACGTAAATTTTTTATTGCTTCACAGTTCAGCCGCTATTGTAGATTCTTGCTGAATGAAACAGTAAAATATCTGGAATTGAGTAGAAAACTAAGCAAATGAAACCCAGTAGTAGTCCGAAGCTGTAATTGGGATCTGCCCGAATCCCTGTTTTCCAGCTGATATGCGGTAGCGGGGGCCGCACCCCAGGCACATCGCTGTTGAAATAGAATATGACGAGATAGTACATTGAGACAGCAATTCCTAGGGCCACAGGGATTCCCGCCAATTCCGAAAACATCCTCATGGGTCGGGACCAAACGACGGCCTCGAGCAGGGCTGCCACTAGCTTAAGAGTATTCCTTACACATGAGTAGTATCTACAAAGCATTACGAGGTAAACCAAAAAGATAACAATTGCCGTGGGGACGAAAACGAGCATACACACTGATGTGACAGCATCATGAGCCTGTCGCTTACGCAAGGGACTGTTGTGTATCCGAGGGTCGAAATGGTTCGAGGTTGAACTAGGGTCAGCTTGTAATTGTAGGATCGATTTCGGTCTTCGACTTTGTGCTGTCAGAGCAAGAGACTTAGGGTAAGCGCCACCGTCAGTAACTGAAGAATTTTCTTGGTCCTCTCCAAGCTTCTGATTATGCTTAGGTTCTTGTTGATAACTGTTGTCGTACGCAGTGCTGTGGCCCTCCGGAAGCTTTCTAGTTGATAAAGCAGGCACTCGACTACAGATGTGGCCATTGATTGTGGTGGAGTGCCGTGACGATAATGGTGTTGACTGCTCGGAGCTGGGTCGAACGGAACCATTGGTGGCAGAGGCCATCCTTAGGTCGGTTCGGTCTAGTTAGAGTTCGGACAACGATGGGTAGTGCGAGATCTTATGAAGTGGTATTTTCGTCTGAAAGTAAATACATGAATATAAAAGGGTCAGATACATGTGAATATTTATGGCGAACGAGAAAAAAAATTGCGTTTGAGAGACGGAAAAAACTATTTTATCCAGAGGACCTTGAAATAAAATATCTTTTAAATTCCGCGCACCTGGTAGATGAAATTCGACTGGTAACTGTTTTCCAGAAACTTGCGAACAAAATTCATTGAGGTTAACCTGAGAGAAATTAGTTATATATATATATATATACAGTGGCACTGTGGAAATAGGACTTTCGAAGGTAGTTTTGTGTAAAACCTAAAGTTTCTTTTTAAATTTAATTTAAACAATAAATTTAATAACTAAATTATAATAATAAGATAAATTACCACATTTAATAACTTCTGACTCAGCGGCATTGGTTTGAATTACATAGTTGTCATTTTATATTTTTCGTTGGACTTTTGACAATAGGTCCAACGAAAAATAAAAATCAGCATGGTACACCAGTTTTAATGGCTTGTTTTTAATTTTGTATAATGGGCTAGGATAAATCTTTCTTTAAAAAAAAATTAAATGCGTTCGACTCTCCTATATAATATTGCAAGATAATTAATCATTGTCTATTTTATGCTATTTATTATAATCATTACTCTATCACTACGTGGAAATAATGCAGGCAATGGAAACGTATAATTTGACAAACGATAATTTTATTTTCCGTACTTGATGCCTTTTTGCTTGTTTATCTAATGGTAGAATATCGCTGCCATCGTCGTTAAGATCGTTGTCGTGAGTACATGTTTACACATTTCGTTATTACGTTTATTCATGTCGATCTTGTATGTTAACATGGTCACTAAAATCAACGCAATGGTCAACGTCGTTTCGATCATTCGTGGATATTTTCATTTATAAGTACAGATGACGGGATGGTGACGATGGTCAAGGACTGTCCCTGATTTGATTTGGCCCGCCGGTCGCCCGCGCGGTTGTGTGTATACAGGTTCAATATTATTAATCCACAAAAATTTTTTATTCTCAAAAATTACAACTCAGGTGAAATTTTCCTTCCCCGACGGTCGGAACGCTGCGAAAACTCACCAAAGATTGGTGAAGACATTAATCAAGGAGGCACAAATGCTTTAGGAATAGAAATTGCAACGTTAAAGACCAGCGATCAGGCACCCAGTCGACAGCGCAAGGACAAAAACTCATTGCTGCAGTCGAAGAAACTTCCGACGAGGGCAAAGAGCTCCATTGGCTAACACTGCCATTTCACATGTGACGTGTTATAGAATTATAATCCAACTACTGAGAATATGGGAACTGGGTAATATATGCATCCCGTTTGCATTGAATTCAGGCTAGTTGAATACGTTTGTGGTGTATTCCAAGTGCAACTAAAAGAAGTTCAATCTGCACAAAAACCCGTCTGGAGCATTCGGTTACCATAGAAGAAGCCTGGTTCAATTCTTGGAACCAATAGAACCAGCGTAGAGGTTCCATACAAGAGAATGGCGTCGCTCTAAAACAAGATCGCATTTGATGACAACACTGAGTAGGTTTCAACGTAGAATGATTACAGTGTTTGTAAAGACATCAGGAGCATCCGCTACAATGCGATGCTCGTCGAAAATGATAGAATGAATGCAACTTGCTATCTTAAGTTCCTCGGCACAGATTTGGTGATAATGACAGATCTATTTGAGTTACTTTTAGGCATAAACCTGATTTAAGGTTACGTGATTATAAGTTTTCCCATACTCTAAATAGGACCTTTAACGAGTTAGTATATCCTATTGTCAATCTGCTTTGGAAGAATCGGGAAATTTACATATGGGAACGCGAATAATAGCTATATAGCAATGTTGAAGCTGCTGTCAAAACTGTGTATAAATACAGAAAAGAATTTCGAACACATATTAAAAAAATCAACTCAACTTGCTCAAAAGCTCAATTTAAATGTCCTCCGGATTTGTTATATACATACATCTTATTTAATTCATACAAAACATGAACTATGTATTGCGCGTAGAACTCCAATCAACGACTTCCGGCCGTCGCCGCAGCAGTGATATAGGAACTGTTTGAGTAAAGATAATATTATATGACTCTATAGAAAGCCGGCTTGCTGTTATGGGTAATTTGTAATATCAGTAGAAAGTGGTACGTTTTAGCAACGTGATACAGCGAGCGAAGCATAATTCTATCCATTTACAATGTATACAGGTGTGTACTTACTGAAGCGGTGTTACAATATGAACTCACTTACTTGTAGCAATAGTTAAATGGTGAACGTGGCTAAAGTATATGGGTGTTTTGACTCGCCATTGTTATGACTAGAATAAGGCCAATATTTCTACAGCGAAACCACAAACTTATCGTGGCAAAGGCGGGAGATTCGTAGTTAGACCGATGTATCAGCCGATATCAGATATAGGCGAATATCAGCCGCTGTCCAATAATTCTGGGTTAGATGCCCCCTTTTGACTGTTTGAGATTTGGTCTATATTATAGCTAGTCTTCATGCTGTTTCCAAAGGATCCGTAATCAGTATAATTTAGATTAAAAAGCCCGAAAATCGTTCGAAATGACCAATTGACCTGTAGAAAAGCCTGAACGGTTAACCTTTTTTAGATTGTTTGCTCCTTTTGTAGTTTTTGTTTCTTACAAACTCTTTGCTTTTAGTCCTTCTTGGTCATTTAGATTTTTTAGGATGGTCGATGGACACCTTTAGCGTAAGTTTCAAACACGTGGGTTTTTTGAGCGAAACCTGCGCTTAGCAGTATAGCTTTAGTCACTGACATTATAACAAAATTGTTCGTAAATTTCGATAAATTTAAGAAAAATCTATTTGAAATTAGTTTGTATTTAAGTCCCTATCAAGTGAGTAGCGATTTCATTGAAATCAACATGTCCGTAAGAAATGTTCGTGTTAGATCATCATCATTATCGACAATCTATTGCTCTTGATCGTCAACTATAGATGACCTATAGACCCTTGTCAAGGCTGAAAGCTTTTGTTCGGCATTGAAAAAGATCAGAAACTTCCGCAAAGCGGTTACTAATCTAACGCGTCTTTCTGTCCGCTTATCCGGCGACCGCTTCCAGCTGTTTTGCATTACTTATCTGCTATAAATCTCTATCAAAGTTCGCTATCGATCATCTATTTACGTGGTTCACGCTGGCTGATAGACGGCTGCGTTCGTCATTGTCTTTCCTGTGCAGTAGGCCATGTCATACAGATAAACTGATCAAGTTTTCACTGCATCGAATCCGTTTGAACACGCTCACGTCCCGTTATTCACCTTGTTCCGACCGAACACAAATCATTCAAAATAAACAAGAAACGATCGTTGATTAATAGCCTCGTACAATGGCGTCCGCGGACAATAGATAGGTACAGCAAGCTTGTAGCTTAGTAATCCGTCAGCATAAAATAGATCCCACCGTAAACGAAGATCACCATTGCAATAACAACACCAGCTATAGGCAAACAACAAAGACGCATCGACAGCAGAAATACTCATCCGCGATAGGCAACAGAGAAAATTCACCACATCATCGTCACCGTCATTAGCTTGTACATCAAGAAGCATCATCGTGATTATGTGTATATAGGGTGTATATATATATATATATATATATATATATATATATGTATAACGGGGTGATGGATGCCGAAGTAGTGGGCGATATCACCGAAAAACCACGCGGGTCGCTGGTGCGGACGGAGAATCGCATGTATCACAAACGAGTGTATCACAGTACGTTTTTTAAGCCGAAAACATTAATAAAGAAACTCATAGTCACACCAGCCTTAAAAATGTCGACGAAGCACCGCTGATATCTCCGTAAGAGAAGATTGACACGTATCCGTTCGCGAGCAGGCCCCGTAAATCTCAAATAAGACCTTTGTTTTCGTGGTAACTGCTGGCCACTCAGTGCACTGGCTGATATGCAATTTAATACCCTATCTCTTAATAAAATGCCGTCGCTACCTAATTTATGATGATATGCCGCTTTTCTCTCGAAACATTGAAGGTGCTTCACGAACACAATGCATAAGTACCGTATACGCCAGCATTACCCGGTGCTGTATAATGGTATAATTATATATCTGCAGGTCCTCCAACCAAAGCGACAAGCAGAAAATTACAAGATTCCCTTTGATGTGGCTCCTCCTGCAGCAGATGAGTTCGCTCTATAACTTAGGCAACCTGATCGACGGTTCAGCGCTTGATCGCAAACTGCATTGCCACATCCTAAGACAATGTACAGGCTCCCTATTTTTCGATCTGCCGGCGAGACGGCAGATGGTCGTACGCACGAGGAGGGGACGCCTTCGACGTATGTCGGGAGTCAAGTGTTTCGTCTTACTGGCGGTTGCTTTTCTATGGTGCTTTCTATGGTACTAAAGGCGAAAATAGCAGCAGAGTTTCGAAGTGAGTAAACAAAAAGCCACGGTGGGTCGAGATAGAAAAGCAGGAAGAAATTGTTTAGGTACTGATCTAGAAAAGGATAAGGATGCATAGGTTGGTGAACGCCTATTGGGTGTAGGTGTCTGAGAAGCTTTAAACAATATTGACTTTATATATTATATAAGTCAATATTGTTTGGATGGCCTATATGAATGCGTGTTGCAGTGAGCAGAGCTATTTGCTGAAAGCAAATGTTCAACACTTATCCTGTACCGACGATTTGATGCTATAATGTTTCATTAATATCCGGTTCGATGTTTAGGTATGTTAGCGACATAATCAGCTCAAACATGTATATAAATACTAAATGAAATTAAACATGTTAATAATATTTTCGCTATTCAAAGAACAACGATATAAGCCAGGCTCCATTTTATAAGTGAGACAACATATTTAAGTGTGAAACTTATCCAAACTAGGAAGCGCATGTTAAACGACGCATATATTGTCAATCCAAGTATTCTGTCTCGTGATGAGTTAAAAATGTCACTCATCACTCTCCTTCAATGGTCCATCCACATCACAATGGTCCTTCTTCTGTCT